ATGTTTTCTTTATTTATAGCAGGGGTGAGGAAGCTTTTTTGGGTCAGACAAATTCAAAAGTAAAAATCAGCTGGGGACCACACAAGTGAGAAGAAAAAAAAATAAAAAAATCCTCCCCAAATCCCCCAATTGAGACACTTAACTCCTCTGACACTCCAGCCCCACTGAGGAAGGGGGAGGAACAGGGAGGACCAAGGTTCAGGGCTTCCCACAGGCCAGATTAACTCTTCTGGGGTTCCAGGGTTAGGAATTTCAGGAATTTATGGCGTCCCCCCCAGGCTCTGGGGTGGGGCTAAAAAGAGGGGTTCAGTGTGCAGGAGAGGGCTGCCAGTGAAAGGGATGGGGATGCAGAATCTGGGCAGGAGGTGGAGTGCACGAGGGGGTGAGAGTGCGAGGTCTGGACAGGAGAGGAGGTGCAGGAACAGGCTGGGAGTAGAGTGTTTAGCCAGTGGGAGTGGGCAAGAGCAAGGGAAGATTTAGCCTGTGGTCAGGAGGGAGAGTGCAGGAGCAATGGTGGGTGTAGGAGCAGGCTGGGATAGGGGGTCTGGCCAGGGGGAGGGGACAGGAGTGGGCTGAGGGTGCAGGGTCTCAGCAGGGTGTGAGGGGTCTGGGGATACATGGGTATGGATATGGGGGGGCACTTACTTGCCTTTGTTCCTCAATCAGTCCCAGGTACCACCTCCCGCTGCTGGTCAATGGGAGCAGTGGGGAAAGCCTCCAAGCAGTGCGCCCACATGCTGCCGTTGGAAGGGGATCACTCAGTGGGGCTTGGGACTTTCTCTTCCTTCTCCCCACACAGCTGGTGCTCCAACTGCATGGGGGATGGAGGGTGAGGTTGGACACAAGCACGGGCTGTTGAGCTGCAGACCGTCTGGGAGGTGGGGGTCCCCAGACCGCAGGTTGAGAACCACGGCCCTAACCTCTTGGAAGGCATAGCACTTAGAGCTTGATCCTTCTACCGAGATCAGTGAAAACAGAGACGTATAAACATGGCTGCATTTTTTTGCCCTTTTGCTAGAGCTCAGACCTAGCACTGCAATGAAATAAGACACAACGGCACCCCAAGCATCGCTGTGATCTCCCATTGCTGCTGAAATTCCATCCCTCCAGTTTTCACAATGTATCGTTCCCGTGATGCAGGATATGGATTCATCGAAGTTGCACTCATGTGACAACGCAGAAACTCTACCTATGAAAACCTTTCACGATTCTTGCGTACAGAATATAGGAGAGCTCTGAACATATGCAAGTCTGTATGCAGGTCAAAGCTAGAGAAGAGGGAGGAATACATCAGTTTGATTTGCTAGCAACCCTGAAAAATTAAAAACAAACCAGTTTCTGGTCAAACTAAAATGTATTTCAAAAATTGGCAAATTGAAGAATTTGGAGGGAGGTTGGGAATGGGGGACAAATCAAACATGTTTTGTGAATTTCTTATATTTCAAATATTTAAATACAAATTTGAAGGACATTTCAAAAGGTTCTGAAACAATTCATGGAAACCACACCGCATGAGCAAAATATGCCATTCCCCAGCCCCAGTTCTAGTCAGAACAGAACAGAGCTCTGAACTAGCAAATTTGGTTTTACTTTTGCCTCCCAGAAGGCCCACTGAATGGGGGGAGGGGCGGCAAAGGGGACAGTTGTCGTAGGCCTGGCAGCTCTGAGGGCCGCACTGCAGATGGCCCCGAGGGCTAGCCGGGGAGGACGACAGCAGAACACTCACGGAGAGTGATACTGGTGCACTATTTGCAGCAGGGAGGGCTGGCTGGCTCTGCCTCTTTTTCCCCATCCCTTCCAGGAGGATAGAATTGGTTCCTTCCCCTTGCCTAAGGGCTCACAGAGGCTGTTGGCACTGTTGCTTCCCAAGTTGTACTTCTGAATTTGGCAGCTGAATAAATTCCAAAATCTCTAAGTGGAAGATCAGTGCTGCAGCGATGGATCTGGAGTTCAATGTAGCAAGTCTAGTTAAGACTCACTAAATCGAACTCAGAGAGTGCTCCTACTTCTGCAAGGATCAAGAGAAGCCAGTGGGAGCGTCAGCCTCCTGCTATGGGGACGTCGGGGAAACTGAAAACAAGATACTGACATAGCTGGAGTTGTATATCTTGATTCAATGTTCCCTTTTAGTGTAGACTTGGCCTAAGTTTCATTTGAGCTCCGCCTGCACACTGGGAAAATGCAGTCTATGGGGTTGTGAGTTCTAAAGAACTCTGATATGCTACATTCTAAATGTTCCCTACTGCACTTTGAGGCTGTGTCTACACTACATGCCTCTGTCGGCAGAGGCATGTAGATTAGGGTTGTAGGCAAAGGTAAATGAAGCCGCGATTTAAATGATCGCGGCTTCATTTACATTTACATGGCTGTCGCGCTGAGCCGACAAACAGCTGATCAGCTGTTTGTCGGCTCAGCGCGACAGCCATGTAAATGTAAATGAAGCCGCGATCATTTAAATCGCGGCTTCATTTACCTTTGCTGAATAAACAAATCTACATGCCTCTGCCGACAGAGGCATGTAGTGTAGACGTACCCTAACATTGTATCTAATGCTGTATGAAACACAAATGACTACACTGAAATGCAACAGGGAGCATTTAGCACACACCGACAGGGTCTGTATGGACTAGTTAATGTGCAATGCATTAGTGTGCTTTTGTACTCATACCCCTATGCAATATGCATTACCCCAGGGTATAGACAAATGGGATTTGAGTCAAGCAACAATAAGTGAGGTACAGGCGCATACAACAGACCAATTTCATCTGAAGGCCAACCTAGGTGTGCTTAAAAACCAGAATCATGCCTGTGTCATCTGCTTTGGGGCATCATACCAAAGTTTCGCGTTGCTGTGCTCCAAATCTTTGTTTCTGCTCGTTGGTAGGCCAATACCTAATGTGTGTCCAGCTTATTTTTGTTCTTTCAAAGCGCTGCAGGATTGATTACGAAACAAACTGACTAGTTTGCTTTGAAACCAGGGGGAGAGAGGAAAGAGCTCAGTGCTGCTTTGTGGAGTTTTATTTTTGTTCAGGCTGCCAGTGAAGCAGTAAGATTGATCTCCATTATACTGTCCCAGTTCCGGCAGGAAGCTGCGCCTAAGTGACTGCCAAAACCCCACAAACAGCAGGAAGACGATAGGGAATCCAGTCCCTGACATTCTTTAATGTTCTAGTTCAGCTGTCTTCTGTCTAGTGGATGTCTCTCAAAAGCCACTGGCGCAGGTACAGAATGGGTATATGTGTGTACGCCTGCATGCACATGCACGTTGCAAGCAAGTATATATTTGGTAGACCTGGCTGTGTGAGCAAACACTCCCAAATGTCCCCAGCGTATTGTCAACACACTTCATTCAGGTGCAGCAATGTTACAATTTCAGTGAGGACTTCTCCATAGTGTGTCCCAGTTGCATGGTGGTCTGTTGGCGAGTCACTCCGTTATTTATGGTCTAATCCAGATTTCTTGAACCAAAATCCCTTGATGAATAAGGCCTGTGCATGAAACCAGCTGGGTGTCCCTGCCAATTACTACCAATTTATTTAATCTGAAAAACATCCTGAGATAATAAGCAGAACCATTACTAAGTTATCTACTCTCCTTCAGATGAAATAAAGCTTTTCGCAGTGCATTTAACTTTATTGAGAATGACAGTGTTTGGATCCTGTTTAAGAAAAGTTATAATATGTGAATCATTTTTTGAGAAAGTAATACATGTTTTCTTCTGTGACCACTGCTTTTTATTTTTCTAATGGGCTTTTTACCATTGTTTTGTCTGAATACATTTTTAGTTTTGTTGCTTCAGACATGAGCCTGCCACAAGCATCTTTAAACCAGACATTAATACCATAGTTCACAGTCATTTCTGCCAGTACCCAAACACAAATATTGCATTTATGTGTGGGGGAAAGTACACATCAGATCTTAATTATGTGCATTTGTTTTCTCTGTGCTTAAACAATCTGGCATAAAGAGTTTACATCACTATTGGTTAATTGCTGAGTTCTTGGTGGCATTGGGATCACCAGCTGTACAGTACATGAGTCAGAATTTTTTTTAAATAGCAAAATTAGAATCTTTAGGCTTTGTACACTTCCCTGATACATAGTAGAGCAGGGAGAATGAATAATTTATCTGAATTTGGTCTTGCTTCTTGTTGTTTGCAGACTGGTTATAACCAAGCTGATTGTTTTGGGTTGCATTTAAATCCAGGAGAGAGCACTGGACTAGACTTTGGGAGACCTGGCTTCTGATTGTCCAACTGCGTAACCTTTGGGAGGACAATTCATTTCTCTTTGACGCTTTCTTCCATCACTAGACAGCACTTTGGAATAGGATTGCCTCGTTTGTGTGTACTGCCCCTAACACAATGAGGCCCTCATCTTGTTGGGATCTGTAAACACTACTCTGAACTGATTTACTTCCTGCAAGAATGTAGGATAAATGTTTGGCCCATTGCATTTAGAAAGAAGGAGAGAAATTTAATATTGATGAAATCAACTCTAATCTAATTAATTCATGCCAAATTCCCAAGAGTTAGACCCAGAGGACTGTCATTAGAAGCTGAAATATTATATACATAAGCCTTTACAATGTGGGGGTGGTGGGAAAGAAATGTGCTTAGTCTTGTTTCAATAAGTCTGTTTCCCTGTATAGCAAAGGGATTGCTACTTTAGCAGGCATCAGGGTAAGAAAGCAAAACAAAATGTTCTTGAGATGGAGAATAAAAGGAAAAACATAAGTATTTACATGTTGGGATACTTGTATTCATGAAAAATTGGTTTGAAATCAAGGAGCATAGAATTACAACTATAAAATGTGTTTAAAATAATTACTAAGAGGACCAGGTTTAGTTTCATATGTGTAAATCAATTGGAATCATTAGGGCACATTCAAGAATCTGGCTTCAAAAAATTATAAATATGAAAATAGATGCAAAGGCAAAGTCACAGGAATTCATAAGAAGGATGTTCTGATTGACTCATCTGTTTTTCTGCTGGTTATAGGTGTCGGAGCCAGCCCCTATGTGATGAATTGCAATGTGACTATAGACACCCAAGACATGGCTACAGGAAAAGATATAGCATGTGCTGTCCGAGGCATCAATCCAAGTGGCTTAAAGGGTGTCCAGACTATAGTTTTTCCCCATAATGGGAAAATTGAAATAGCTTGTAATGTGGAGAGCTTTGAAGACCAAGACAATACACTGACCCTACATGAAGACTCTGGGTACATTTCATACTGTGTTCTTGGGAAGACTTTTTCTTATGTATCCCCTCAATCTATAGAGGCACTCATTAAAAAATTAGCCCACAACTATGGGATAAATACTGTCGGGGCAGCATTAGTTGGATTTACCCCAGAGGAATGTAAGCACTGTGCCACATATGCATTAAAGAAAGGCATTGGAGAATTCTGGAGGGTGAGGGAAGGCAAGTTTATGTGATGTGCATTTTATCTCAGCAGTTATAACTCATGAAATGTTAAAAATTATCATCCTTACTAATTAAAAATCCACATTATTTTCTTTATGTGGGGAGACCCAAATGTATAGTTGCAAAGCCGGGATTATTTCATGCTTACAAGTGTGATTTGACTGCCCCCAGTGGATGGTTTTTATGCTACCACAGAAAACCGAAGATGGTTTATCAGGCCTATTTCTGGGGGGACAGGTACGGTTGGTTTTAACTAGCAGTCTAGTGATCAAATGTCCCACTTCCTTGGGATCCAGATATTTGCTGGGAACACTGGTAGCTCATCTATCAATAATTTGGTAATCTATGTCAATGTTCAAGGCTTCATCGCGCTAACAGGGGAAAACCTGCTTGTCTGGAGTTCAGGGAGGTGGGGCCTTGAATCTGAGGGGACAGTGGAAAAGGTTCTCTCTTTCCTTGGGACGATAGCAGTGATTAGGTGTTGATCCCACTTATCTTAGTTTATGCAGCTAATACTTCGTATATTGCGAGAATAAATACAAATGTAGCTAATAGGTACCCATCTGGTCTGTAATTCCTGTCACCCGAGGATCTCAAAACACTTTTCAAAGGCGATTAAATATAAATATTCTCATTTTGCAAACAGGAAAACTTGAGGCACTGTGAAATTAAATGACTTGTCCCAGGCTACACAGCAAGTCAATAACAACATTTTGGGATAGAACTCAAATTGCCTGATGCCCAGTTTCCCTTCTTTCCCAAAACTTTTTTTTTTTTTTTTTGGTCAGGATTCACACTTGCTCCATCATTTATCATTGCTTTGATAGCACCCAGAACTGAAATGTAATAGATATGGTTTTACCAACAAACTTTCTTTTTGTATATACCATAAATTCTGTATGTCCTCCCACGCATCGGTTTCTTTTAGATCGAAGACAGAAAACACAGCTGCTACTGGATAATGCTTTTTTATGATGACACATGTTTAGGATGCAAACGAGGGAAATACTTTAATATAAATTAGTTTAAACAAAATGAAAATGTGAAAAGATTATTGTTCTTTCCATGAATGGAAAGCCTTGACCAACAGTAATTGGTTTCCACTCTCTTGGAAGTGGAGTCAGTGGTCAAAAAAGGACCAGTATAATGGAGGTCTATATGAAATGTATCATTCTGTCTGGCTGAGCAAAACCAGATCTTATATGTTGTTCTGTTTGATATAAATATTACTTGTTTGACTGTTTACTTTGTGAGGGTACAAGGTTTTCATAGTGTGTGCACTAAATCCTTTCTTTTGCCAGGCATTCTGGACCTCAATTTCCTGTTTACATAACCCTGGAGATGGCTAAACTTATATGGCAACTTCCAATCACATTCTGAGAATCAGGGCCCTGGGGGTATGTCTACACTACAAAGTTAATTCGAACTAACAGACGTTAGTTCGAATTAACTTTGATAGGCGCTACATACGCGATCCGCTAATTCGAACTTAATTCGAACTAGGTAAACCTCATTCTACGAGGACTAACGCCTAGTTCGAATTAACTAGTTCGAATTAAGGGCTGTGTAGCCACTTAATTCGAACTAGTGGGAGGCTAGCCCTCCCCAGCTTTCCCTGGTGGCCACTCTGGGCACCACCAGGGAAACTCTTCTGCCCCCCTCCCGGCCCCGGAACCCTTAAAGGGGCACGGGCTGGCTACGGTGCCCGTGCCAGGTGCAAGCCT